GCTGCCTCGAGGACGTGAGGTCTGAGCACACGTACGGGTCCAGCGGGTAGGGGGACACATGTGACGCTTGGAGGCCAGGTAGGACACACGTGTGACACGCATGACATGTGTAACCGTCCCCAGGGCCAGTGCCAGTGGCGACAACCGCCGGGCCGGGAGATTTATCGCAAGAGCAACATCTCTGTCTACGAGGTGGACGGTAAAGACCACAAGGTAACGGGGGATGAGAGGGAGAGCGACACGGAGGTGATGCATGACATGTGATGACACGTGATGTCACGTGACCCAGATCTACTGCCAGAACCTCTGCCTCTTGGCCAAGCTCTTCCTCGACCACAAAACCCTCTATTTCGACGTGGAACCCTTCGTTTTCTACCTTCTAACCGAGGTGGACCGACAAGGCGCCCACATCGTCGGCTACTTCTCCAAGGTACCCTTGGGGAGGGGATGATGTCACTCCCCGTGTGGCACCCTTGGGTGTCACCCCCCCCCCCGAGGGTCACCTGCCACCCTTTGGGTGTCACCTCCCAGGAAAAAGAATCGCCCGACGGCAACAACGTCGCTTGTATCTTGACCCTGCCGCCGTATCAGCGCCGGGGCTACGGGAAATTCCTCATCGCTTTTAGTGAGTTTTTTTGGAGGGAGTTCCCAAAAATGGGGGGGTGTCCCTAAAAACGGGGGTGGGGGGCTGCCTGGGTGCCCTCCCGGACGCCTGGGCTCCCCCTCCCCCGGTAGGTTACGAGTTGTCCAAGTTGGAAAGCACGGTGGGGTCACCCGAAAAACCGTTGTCGGATCTGGGGAAGCTGAGCTACCGGAGTTACTGGTCATGGGTGCTGCTGGAGATCCTGAGGGACTTCCGGGGAACCCTCTCCATTAAGGACCTCAGGTAGGCACCAGTACAGACCAGTATAGACCAGTAACCCTGCTGCGCACTCCCAGTAACCCCCAGGAATGTGGGATCACGGGTGCTGATGGAGATGCTGAGGGATTTCTGAGGCAAGCTCTCGGGGAGCTTAGGAGAGCAACAGGAGCCTCCCAGTAAGACCAGTAACCTCTCCAGTAGCCACCCAGTAT